CTCAAATGCATATGATCTCCCACACAGAATCTCATTCCAGTCCATATATATATAGGCGACTTCGAAATTAGGCCGAGGAAAAAGAGCGGGAGACATCCAGCCATCTCAGGATCTTCAGCCCCACACCATTCTCATACTCACAGCTTCTGTTGGTAAGTAAACGTAATTATTTTTCCATGCTTTCATTTGTATAGTTATAATTATGCTGGTACTTGATGCAGGGTGAGACCGAAAGTCAAGTGTGTACGCAACAATTAACGTCGTCTAACATGATCGCACCATCGTCAAGTAATGTTATATTCAATTCACAAGGGGAACAAGTGTTTAAATCATTATAATCAGAGGCAATTTGTTTTCCCTTTCGTCATGCGTTTCCAACCTAAAATTTCCACATATAAGTCCGTATTTTGGAACGAGCCAAATGCCACACAATTTTGTTCAGGTAGACTTTCAGTTAATCTTGATATTAGAGGATAATTTTACTAGATTTCTTACCACCTCATGTTGTGTAATTACTGTCATTCATAGGTACCGGGTGCAGATTATTTCCCAATGGAATTGTACGTAGCAAATCTGTTCGGTTCTGTCCCAAATACTCATGCAGATACGTCGACTCACTACAATGCTGGAAACCCATATTGCAAGTGAAGTTGGAGGTTGCCCGTCTTGTTGTGTTCTATTTCATTTGTATGCCTCGATTATGAGATTTATGGTATCTGATTTCATCTGTATCTATAGATGCACGTGTGGTAAATGATAGACAGATTACGGGATGTATGGTACCTGATTTCATATGTATTGTGTTGAAGTTATATACAATTAATGGGTTCTGTGAATGAACTTTATGGCATGTATGGTCAAAAACAGGTTTTATGAATGCATTTTGCTTCTTTATTTTGGGGAATTTTTTTCTCATTAATGTATAGGCATTTCGTTGAAATTGACTGTCAAATTTTTGGTTTTCAAGTGATCATACTACATGTATGTAACGGTAATGGGTGACCAATGTGGTGTTTAAGTACACTGGCCACTTGAAGGTATCACTAGGCACTTGGACATGCAACTTCTTCCAATTGAAAACTATCTCATGTCATCTGTCAGTTAAAGAAGGCTCCACCCCACCCCACCCCTGCAGTGGCCTCTTGGTGTAGAAGTTTAGTATCTCAAGATTTTTGATGTGTTATGTCTTCCTATGA